ATATTGTGAAATTAACGACTTTTGCCGTAGAGTCATCTGTAAGAAATCTATTTCTCATTCCGTAGCTCAGTTGGGAGAGCATCTCTAGCATGGATTGCTTGAAGGCGCTGGTTCCGCGTTAAGAGGTTTGGTGACTCACTAAAGTGACAGTATAACATTTAAATCGTATAGGCAATAAAATACCACGTTCTTGGCAATGCAGCAGTATGTTAAGTCTACTAGTTCCGAAATTGGTTAGTGATTTATCAGCAGAGATCGGAATTGTAACAATATACTAACCAGTAGAATTCAATTAACCTGACGATTTTAATGTTTGGTTACAATAAAAATGCACGACACGGCAGCTAGGTGAAAAGGGGTGGCAACATTTAGACCAGGGTGTTGCTGATGCAGGTTTTTTACACATCAGTGGATTCTGATGCGGATGCTGATGTGGATGTCGATTTTAATACATTAAAAAAAACGCGAAAAGTTAACATCCTTACTGAATCTGTCTACATGAAGTAGCTTTCTATTTTCTTTGGGATAGAAATAAAATATTATTTCAATAATGAAACAATCAATCTGCCTAGCTTAATCGTTGCGGGATTTTATAAAAGTTATATTTGAAAAACAACAGCTGAGCTGCTTTTTCGGCTTACAGTCTGTTTCTGGAAGGTTTGTAAATTATTCCAGCGTGCCTTTTAGACAGAACATCCGCAATGAATATCACCGCCGATGAATGCGGATGCAGATGTATTATATTATGTAGATTATCCGCGGATGCGGATTCAGATATTCGTAACAACCCTCTGATCTAGACTGAGTAAATAAAAAAACCGTTTAATTGGCGTTAAAATAGAAGCATTCCATTAAGATTCGTTAGTACCTCGTTCATGAATATTAATTTATGGACGTATGACTTTTTCGAGTTTACATTGCGAATTTTCCAACTTTCAATTCTTTATTGCCTACCATAATGTTAACAACAGCAGTGGTAACTAAGGCTCAATTTATATTGCGGCGGAACGGAATAGAAGCGAATTTTTGTATCGATATTGTACATAGCATCTCGCGCATGCTCAAGAATGCTCGCACATTCCGCGGAAGATTTTGACTCGTATCTAGTTTGTACGTCACAGAATTGACCATAAAGTTCAGTATGCTATGTACAATATCGTTACAAAAATTCGCTTCCATTCTGTGCCGCCGCAATATAAATTGAGTCTAATGGTTTTGATTTACCGCTTCTTAAGTAGAGGTCGTAGGTTGAGTTTTTCGGAATTTATGTGCGAAATTTAATTTGAAATTTATCATGAGTGCACGTCGATTAAGTCTCACAACCTTCGAAAAATGTGTGAAGTCCTCAACCTACGTTGGACCAGTGTGACGGATGATGACCTAAATCCTGGTATGCGAGGAGACCCGCAAATAGCGAGCAGTGGGACTTTTTTCCATAATACTAAGTGACGGGACGAACAAGCCGTGCGCCTGGTAGTAAGCGACACGCCTATCCTTAAGTGTCGATACAACCTTAAATGGCTTTGGTTGGTTCCGCATAACAGTATAAGTGGTGAATCAAACAAAAAAAAATCATGACAAGAGAAAAACACAAGCTTACCTCGAAATTTTATAAGAAAACCGCTGTGTTCAAATGGGTACTTTACATAATATACCAATTATTGTTTTTATATCAACTGAACTAAATAGAACACGTGTAATATACGATATACATTTTTCGAATGGCTTTAATTTCGTTTGTAAAAAAAGTTCTGAAATCAAGCCAGTGTCCCTGCCGCTCGACCCAAGCAAAATTAACCGTACTAAAAAAAAAATAATTCGAGCTGAGATGGTATCGACTCTTAACAGTTGCAGTAGCACTCTAAATAGCTTTAAATCGCAAAAATCTCAGGGGCACTGCCACTGCTCCCGTCACCCTGAGACACAAGGTGACACGTCTCATGTGTGGGAGGTAGCAGTACTTCCCTGGACGAACTCTTTCACAAGGGGCTCTACTGCTACTACAACGTGTACGTGTTGGGTTGATGATGATGATTATGCTATATAGGATGGGAATGGTTTCAAGCTAAGTTAACAGCGCATTATGGACCTTAAAGGGTTTTATCCTTCTCCTATCCACGGCAAATTATATGTAAATTACTCTTTACAAAATCTAGAAATGTTGCTTTTCATTGTGTACATTTATTGTGTTATTTATTATTTAGCTTTAAATCACAAAGATGTGGAGGCACTACCACTGCGCCCGACACCCTGATACATAAGGGCTCTTACACATAAACACGATACGACACGACGCGGCATCGTTTCACCATGCGACGTTGTATTGTGGAAATCTATGACTATCTTTGAATATTGAATAACACTGGGGAGCGCACCGTGAGTTTCTTCGATACGATGTCGTACCGTGAAACAATGCGCGTCGTAGCACGACGCGTCGTCGTATATCGTGTTACGTGTAAGAGTCCTAAGTTGGCAAGTCCCATGTGCCTGTAATTTCACCAGCGCCCTTACCCTTCGAAACCGGAACACAATAATGCGGACATTACTGCTTGGCGGCAGAAATAGGTAAAGTGGCAGTACTTCCCTGGACGAACTCTTTCACAAAAAGTTTTACTGCTACTAAAATCTTTTTACGAAAGATTCTGCAAACGAAATTGGTCTATATTTTTTTATCTTAAATTGGAGAGTTATAATTTGTGTCATGTATTCCGTATTATGTTTATGATTTACACTAATGGCACTTCTGACGTACGATCACATGTGATCCTAGGCCAAGGGTATGAGTTCGAACCGAAAAAGTGCATTTTAGTTATAATTCAGTACAGTCGTAAAAATCTGTCAAGTTGTTTATGGCCAACAGCAAAATTAAGATAAAAATTTATATACTCTAGGGTATATTTTTGGTGGTGTCTGTGACTGCGCGCTTGTGTTGTTTATTTTATTAATTTTATGCGGAGGGAGGGCGGGAAACTAACTGCATGAAAAAATATTCAATACAAGCGCAACTACACACATCAAAAGTGTCTAGGGATCAAGTGAATATTTTTGAAATAAAAAATTATTTAAGCAATATTTACCAAATCCAGTCTTCCAGGACGACTTCTTACTTTAATGCTTATGTTTTATTTAACCGCTTACCCCTATATTTAATAAAAATAAACTAAAATTGATGTTTTTGCAAATTGTGGGAAAAACTCAAATTAGCGGCGTCAATTAAATGACAAAAAAATGGCGAAAATGATGATTTTGCTCATTTTTATTGTAAGGATAAGAAAATTAATAATCTGTATTTCCACCATTAACACGAATCACACAATTACAGCGATTTGGCATGCTTAAGATGAGTTCATCAAAATCACTTTGAGGAATGGCCGCCCATGTGTTTTGTAACAAGTCAAAATATTGTTGTAGAATACTCTACAACATACATACGTACGGTATGCATACTCGGCACAGCTCTTCTTTGAAGCATATCCCATGCGTGCTCAATTGGATTGAGGTCTGGCGATTGAGCAGGCCACGGCAGAACGTTGATACGAGCTTCGGCAAGAATGCGTGTTACGACTCTAGCCGTGTGTGGACGTGCGTTGTCATGCATTAGTTGAAATGAATCACCCAACTGGCCTCGCAAAGGGATGATAACATCTGAAACAATCCTCTCTGCGTAAACTTGAGCATTGAGGTTACCCCTGATCCAAATGAGATCGGTTCTTCCGCCGATCCAAATACCGGCCCATATCATTATTGTTCCCCCACCATATGGATGAACTTCCTGACAATATCTCAAACGTTCATGACGTCCAGATGTTCTCCAAACTCGAGTACGTCTTGTATCCGGTCTCATACCGAAGCGGGATTCATCCGAAAATCACACATAGCGCCAGTCTTCTTCCTCCCAGTTTCTGTGTTCGCGAGCCCATCGTAAACGGGTCCTGCGATTGCAGGGTGCAATAGGTGGAACTCTGAGCGGCCTTCGGGATCGCAGACCCACTTCACGTAAACGATTTCGGATTGTTTGATCGCTTATTAGCAAGCCTGAGGAGCTGTGGAGCCTCGTAACCAACATCATGGCGGTCATGGTACGATTCCGTCGAGCAGTATTTTGGATATACCGGTCCTGTCTGCGAGTCGTGATGCGAGATCGTCCTTCATGTCGCTCGGCCACGCTGCCCGTCATGCGATAGCGCGTCCAGAGGCGACTTATGACGCTCTGTGTAGTGTTAAGAGTGAAAGCCACAGCACGTTGCCTGGAACCAGCTTCCAACATTCCGACGGCTCGCATCATCACTTCTCGGGTTAAATGATGTCGTCTCTCCATAATAATGTAAATTGTTTCGGTTCCGATGCAGATATTGTAATGATTTTGTCAAAACGCTATAACTCATTTTTATACAAAACCACAATGACAATCGATTTTCTTCTTATTATCGAATTTTAAACAATATTCCTTATATAAATGTTAAAACTCACTAAAAAATATCAATAGCGATACAAAAAAGTTAATATAATTAACCCTAATTGCAGCAATACTCTTAAACGTACTTGACCCCTAGACACTTTTGATGTGTGTATATTGCACAATTTAACCTTCACTGGGTTCGCGAAGTAGCAAATTAATTTACCTCCATTGTTGTTAACATGGACTTCGCAAAGTAACGCCTGAATATGTTAATTGCAAAATTAAGAAAGTCAGAACCTATAGTTCTAAAATCAAAGCAAATAAAATACTCATTGTTCATAAAGACATTTTCATGCCTAACATGATTTGATTCTCTGTGAAGTTGGTTACCTGCAAGACAGGCCATGCCAAGTGTAGGAATCAAAAGTAACTCATGTGCGAATTTACTTAATCGATCTCGCAACACCATTATCGATCAAACTGTATTTTTTATGCTTGCGTTTTTGTGAGAGGTCTAATAAATTTTATTTATTTTATTATTAATTTTTCAAATCTATTATAAATGTCACTGATTTTATTGAAACGTGTTTTTTTTTACCAGGGATGTTGTAACAGTCCTATTAAACGCAGGAGTGGATCCAAACGTTCACACACAGAACGGTACACCCCTTCACGAAGCTGCGAGTTTTGGAAAAGCGTCTGTCGTACGCGTTTTGCTATCAAGAGGCGCTGAATTAAAGGCTGTTGACAGGAGAGGGAAGACTGTACATGAACTGCTTGACGAGTACAAGGGGGATGCTTCGAAACGAGTTAAGAAGGAAATTCGAGGTAAGAGTAGAATTGGTACATTGTTGTTGTCAAGTAGTAATGTGAACTGCTTCGGTTTAGATGGGTGCTGGTGAAACTATACTAAAAATAATCTAGGATGATCCCTGTGACAGTTGTTAAAAATCTACACAATATAGCTTTGTAATGGCGTGCACTAATTTACGTATTTCATTAACTATTTTTATAATCTTCGCTTTTAAATTAGTGGCCTTTGTTTCAGTAAATAAACTAATTAGAGTAAAAATAACACCAAATCAGTGTTTATTTGTAAGAAATGAGCGGAAAAACATTTTTTTTTTTCGATAAATCATTTATTAATTTTACGACAATGTGCAAAGGTTCATCTTCATTACACTGCTTTGATTTTATAGACAATAAAAAATTTTTAAATAATTTTATGACTAAATAAATGTGTTAGGGTATTCATTCTTAAAGTGTGACATTTAATCATAGGAATTTTTTCTTTTTTGATAACTATGATTAAAATGTCAGTGTTATTCTTTTTTTTTTAAATAAGTGCGCATTTGACCTCCATCTCACCTGATGGAAAGTGACGATGAGGTCGAGGATGTAGCATGCACACCTAAATAATGCCTATTTACTCTTGCCTTGAAAAGGTCCAAGTTATAGCGTTCGGGGAAGAAGTCTGCAGGCAGGGAATTCCACTCCCTAGACGCTCGCCATACAAATGTGGAAGCGAAACGCTTCGTGCGAATCCGGGGAATATCCACAACATAGGGATGGCACCTCCGCCCACGTCTAGTCTCCCGATGATGGAAAGGGGAAGGCTGAATCAAATTATGCAATTCCATCGCGCACTCTCCGTGATATGTCCTGTAGAATACCGATAAGCTGGCAACTCTACGGCGGTGTTCAAGGCTCTGCAGATTCGCCTCTACCAGTTCCGAGTCACCTATAACCCTCTTAGCACGCTTGTCTATTGAATCCAAGGTGACGAGTTGGTATTTAGCAGAGCCATCCCACAAGTGGCAGCAGTACTCCATACACGACCGGACTTGTGCTTGGTACAGCTGAAGCAACTGTCCCGGTGTGAAGTATCGCCTCACCTTGGAAAGGATGCCAAGCTTCTTGGCTGCATTTTTGCCCATGGATTTAATGTAACTGCCGAAGTTCAGATTGGACGACAGGTCCATTCCAAATAGGTGAAGACGGTGGGCTATCGGTATGGATATATCACGAAAAGTCGGAGTCAGGTGAAAGGGAATCCGTTTAGTGGAGAAAAGACACGCCTGCGTTTTGGTAGCATTAAATTTGACAAGATTGGCATCGCCCCAATCGGAGACTGACTTAAGTGTCAAATTCAAACGACTAACCATGGACTCTTGACAGGACTGGATTTCTTCTCCACTGACCCTTGCATTGGTCAAGTACCTGTCCACAACTGTGCTGTCATCAGCATACCCAAAGGTACCTGGACTCAACATATCGTTTATATGCAGCAGAAAGAGGGTTGCGGACAGTACAGAACCCTGAGGAACTCCGGCCCTATGTTCGGAAGAGTAGCTTCCTAAGACCACTCGAATCGAACGTTCACTTAAGAAATCCGAAATCCAATTGCAAAGGTCAGTGGGAAGGGAAGGGAAGCTTGCTTAAAAGGCTTGCGTGTCAGACCCTGTCAAAGGCCTTAGAAATGTCTAAAGACATTGCAATGGCTTCGCCATGCTCTTCTATAGCCTTGCTCCATAAGTGAGAGGCATACACAAGAAGATCCGCAGTAGAACGCCCTCTTGGGAATCGTTACTGGCGATCACTGAGGAGATCGTTGTCTTCAAGGTACGACAGGAGACGGTTGTTAAGTACATGTTCCATAGTCTTGCAGAGTATGGAAGTGACTGAGATAGGTCTATAGTTGACAGGGTCAGCTCTACTTCCTTTTTTAGGCACTGGTTGCACATTTGCAAGCTTCCACGAACTGGGAACTACACCAGTCTCAAGCGAGAGGCGATACAGGCAGTGTGAGAATAGGAGACAACTCAGGCGCACAGTTACGCAGGTGGTAGGTATCCTGCGGCGTCCAGACTCGAACTCTCTGGAAAGAGTGAAGCGAAGAGATTCGCCTTCTCTTCCGCAGTATGGGCCAGCGAGCCGTCTGGCCTCAGCAGAGATGGTAATGAGTGGCTACTAAAGTTTTTTTTGGACCGCTTTGGCTAGGGACCGAAAGGACTTGCTGCCTGCTGGAAAAGTGGCAAGCTTGGCTCCTATGCGGCGCACATGGTCGAACTTGGCCCTGTGTAACACACTTTTGCTCTTCTTGGCGGCTTTATTAAAATCTTTCTTCAGATTCCGAGTATTCGGAGCTTTGCGTAGTCGAGCATCTGCCCAAGCTTGGTACGTAGACTGTGTTTGCGCTTCAGCACGACTACAGCCAGCGTTAAACCATGGACGAGGTTGGGGTCCATTGGGTACATCGAAGTATGGTGTATAATACTTCATGCCCAATCGCAAGACCTCAACTACAGCATCAGCACAGCTCGACGAATCTTGTACGTCGTCGAATCGAATCGTTTTTGAAACCTGTAAATTATTCTTGTGAATGTTGTTTGAAATTTTCTAAAATATGTATTGAATTTGCATTTGAATTATAGTTGAGTGTTTTATGCCTTCAATATAATAGAAATATAAAATACAAAACACTGCACACATCAACAAAAGTAAAACTATAAGAGAGAAGTTTTGCTTAAAAAATCAAATACACCAAAAATCAAACGGCTTTACCTCATCCCTATGATAAATGTCAAAAGAAATATCACAAGGATCATCCTAGTTGGGATGGGACTTGTCCGAAACTGACATAGGCCCAAGCCTAGTGGTCGCCTTTAAGGAAATAGAATAGAATAGATGGGACTTGTCAAGTTTGCGATTGAAAGATTTGAATAGCACTGCAACTGTAATGGATAGGCGTGTCGCTTACTACCAGGCCCACGACTTGTCCCGTCACGTGTTATCATAACATAAATAATAATTAATATTATAAGGGGCCCATAGATATATATACACATTGTTGGCTCCATGAAATAATTTTAAAACGAAGAAATAATATATTACCACAAAACTTGCACGGTATATGAATTTAAAATGTGTTCGACTGTACCTTATCTATATGCTAAGAAATAACGTCAATGGAGAACAAATATTTAATGTCTAAAGGTCAAGTCACACTGAAAGTGCAGCGGCCGCAGGAAGACTTTTGGTGCAAATATTACTTGGCATTTTAAATTTTATCTATTAAAGAAAAAAAAATCAAAATGATTTGAAGTTATAGAATATATAGTGCGAACCGCGTCGCCGCCGCGCGGCCGCATGTAACGACTTGTTCAATTGAGCATCGTGCTACCTCCTCCGGCCGCCTCTTCTCTTTCAGTGGGACTTGACTCTAAAACGTGAAATCCCATGCTCAGTAGTGTACATATATGAGTTGATAATGATGAACGTGTATCGTACAAAGCCCTAGTTTGTTACCTGACATCGTTCTAAGGCCACGAACCAAATTGCTTTACGTGTAATGGACCACCAATTGTGGTGGTATTTTCTCATTATTATTCAATGGTTTATAACATGTTACGACTTTAGTTCTTTATATAGTTATAGACGATAAAGTTTCGCGGTTTTTTTACTTTAACCACCTTATAGTTGATATTATAATGTTGAATTTATGTAGACTATTTAAGCAGATAAATAATAAGATTATCATTTTAACCTCGATTAAAATCCTTGTAAGTTTGTAGTGTAGTGGCAGCCTAATGTCTTGTTCTAGCGCTACTTAAACAGAGGTCGTATCGATATTTATGGTTTTAAGGGGTATTTTTGCAACTACCTTCCGTAATAACGAACTAGAAACGCTTATGTACCAACCAGTGACCAGGAATAACCACGGAATAACCATTTAATAAGTGGGCTTTTACGATAACTCAACGTCGCAATATTTGGATTTATTTTCAAACGAGTTTCAATAAAATTACCCACAATTATATATACATTTTTCCTTATCCCAAGGCATCTCAGTCCTTGCTATATTTAGTTATCAGTTGACTTTATAAGATTGTGCACGATGTTTGTATAATAGTGCCGTTTTAAAGTGATAATTATTTTGGAATTTTTTAATTTGGAATTTGGCTCTATGGAAGTTCTAAAATGACCTGCAGGGCGAAACGTAAGATTGCAATTTCTAGAGTACTTTGACATTGTTATACAACATATTACTGTGCCTTTATACTTTTATGAAATAATCGTTTTATGTTACATAAGTCGATATGTAACCTATCGAAACAATGTAATAGACAAAATGCCAGGTTTATTATCTTTATACCTTTTTATTTCTTTTTAACTTTTTTTCAACAGATTATGAGCTAAATCAGTCAAGAAGCACAACTTGCGATAGTGAAGATGACTGTCCGCCGTTCCCTGTGCAGGATAGCCCAAGCTACCCATATGCCGCTGGAATGTGAGTTACTTCTCTGTTCAATTTATACACTGGTAAACATTCACTTATTAGGGAGTCACCATATTTATGAACGAGGAATCGGTTTAAGCCGGTCAGAAAAAACTTTAAGTTCATTTAACAAGAGTGAAAAAGACGTTGTGAGATTTGCTCCCGCTCCGATTGCGACCTTTTTTGAGCGGCTTAATGCGGCTCCATGTGGTTAATAAGTGTGGTCACTCCCTTAAAAATCATACCGGTGAATCAAATATTACAACATTTAGAATTGTGAATTGAAACAATTCGTACTAGAGCGTACAATTGACATTTGCCACTATTAGCGGTTACAGAACATTTCTTTGCACGTGTAAGTAAGGGCACGTTCCCATTACGTCGTAACGTTTTGTTTACCGTTGCGACGACTGTGGCATCTTGCCTGTTCCCATATCACGACTATCTGTCGTGACTGTGTCGTGGTCGTTTATTTTATAGTTGAACGACTGTTGTGTCTAGCTGTTCCCACTAGATCGTGACGAGAATTGGTCGGTTCACGGCAGCCGCTTTGTCGTTTGCCCAACAAAATCGTTTGAAGCTACTACTATTTGTAGTCACATTTTTATCGTGGAGTTTTATTTATCGTCGAACGACTGTCGTTCTAGCTCTTCCCATTATCACGACAGTCTGTCATTTAAATATACAAGCCACGACACGGTAAACTGCACGACTATCTGGCGTCACGACATAATGGGAACGCGCCCTAAAGTTTACGCTACCTTTGAATACCTAAGCACGTTAAACGTGTTAAAAAACTGTTTAAAAAATCTGAAGACAATTTTGTCACTTATGTGCTCTAGCATAAAATGTTCCTTATATAAGATGTGCGCGGTCTATAACCGGGATGGGCTATGGTTATCTTGTAAAACGCGTTTGTGTTTGATATTCTTTTGCTTTTTCTAGTTTAATTTGCATGTCTTCTCAATTTCTTTCTTTTTCACTTCTACTCTCTTTTACTTATAATTTATTTTCTATTGTATATCTATATAATAATAACTATAACTTTCTACGCCACGTTTTTTAAATGTGTCATTCTCGAGTTTTTTAGCTTAATTTCCGTGTCAAATTTTATTATTTAAGTATTTGAGTAGGTATATTATACTCAAATATTAAGTATATTATACTGGAATACTTAAATAATAAAAAATGTCACGGAAATTTGGCAGTGACCACTAACTCGAGAAAGATCGAAAAATAAAATTGAATAGAACCAACATTGATGTTATGGATTTTAACTGTGGAAAGCCTATACAATTTTTTTTAATCATCAATGTACTAAATCCAAACTTAATTCTGGATACATCTAGTCAGACAAACTAATTCCCTAAACGCCCATAACAAATTAAGCAAAAAAGTCTAACAAAAATTTCGATGAAAAAAGTTCAAAGATGTCTGAAGACCTGTAAACAAGAAAGTAAACGTCCATGTCACATACTTTGTAATTACTCTATAGATGTACCTCGGCTTTAAACATCGTTTTAATTGGAGGACGGGATCGCAATTACGGCATACGTCGTGCTACCTTTGAACTGTGATTGCTGTCTTAGATACTTTAAATTCTAGCCTTGTTATTTAACTGTGTAACTTTAAAACTTGTGTAAAAATTAGGTATTTTATTAATAATTGTATAACTGTTTTAGGGTAAAAGGATCTCTTCACTTTTGGGCCCAATTGTGTACCGAGATATACATCTTACGTCAAAATTATTTCTAAAATTATATGGGACAGTATCCATTAAAAAAAAAGTATCCATTTACTGAAATCTTTTTAATTTTAATAGAAATGCTGAAAAATGTAATTCTTAATTATAAGAATAAACGATACAGTGTTTGAGGAAACATGCGTTGCCGTCGTTTGACAGCTATTACTAGCTAATAAATTATTATTTTTTTGTTTTCCTTCGTTCCGCATGGAACAAGCGAAGGTCAGAGACCATGCTACCTAATCATTAGTTTCTCTTTTTCTTCAGTACAAAATGTTTCGATTTAAGTCTTCTGTGTGAGATCCTTCAGTTTCAATCTTCGTTTACATTATTGAGACTTTCGTATCCTGGATAATTCATATTTTAAAGTAAAGGCTTTACACGGCTCTTACTGTAGCTAAAAATCGGGTTCGATCGAAAGAATGTCCCTATAGAATAGCTAATAGTCAGTGATGAATATATCAAAATCACAATAGTAATAAATACCCCAGAGAAGCGAATCAAACGAAACACAGGAATAAAAAAATTATTTGACGTTGACGTGTCGACCGTGTCATTATGTGAGATTTAAATAGTTTAACAGCTTGGGACATAGTCTTTTAGCCAACCGTATTAGATATTGTAATAATATAATAATGTACTCGTAATGAAGAAATTATAAAAGAAGTAATACATATTAAGTAAGACGATTAGACCTATTTTTTAAATAATTCCGGTAGCTCGTTACCTACCATGTGAATGTCTATGCATTGCTATGTATAATTGTTGTGTTGCCAGTCATTTATATGTTCGAAGAATAATTTTGAGTGGTACAAGTGATTAATAAATACTATTTTAATTTTTTAGGAATTCGCCGTATATTTTTATTCAAAAATATGTGATAGTGCTTGAGGTACATCTTTGAGCCCAAGTTGTATGGAAGAAAAAATGGATCCTTTGCAGCCTAGGGGCTATATCTTAGCATTTTATAGATGTAGTATTACATCTAATTGTACATAGGGTAACCATTTTCTTAAACTTGATTCGTCGTTATTATTGAGATCGAACAAACGCAAAGAAATATTTGTCGATCCAACTGGACTCTTATGGGCTTCTCACAGATGGCGCTACGGCAAAAAGCCGTTTGCACCCAAAACAAAGATATGCAATAACGCATAGAGAAATTCGTAATGTTTGCTGACTCGTTCCGTAAACTAGTTGAATGAGCGGTAGCCCCGGTTTAACAAAAAGTCATTGGTTGGAGTCCAGCCAGATCGAAGGTATTTATTTCTCTTTGTGTTTGTTCGGTATTTGTACCTATAATAACAACAAACTCGTGGAGTATTTTCACAAAAAATATAATGTAAACTATAATTATAAAACCATTGTCGTAATGGCAGTAAAAATGATATTCAATAAAATAAATACTAGATTCGTCGTTCAGTAAACCATAAAGAATACAATCAACTGAATATAATTATTTTCCTTATATTTGAATTTAATATAAAACAAATCTTTTGAATACCAAACGACGACGATGTCATTTCATTTCTTTGAAATTGCATTTTCCAACAAAACGATGCAAAACAAAAAAACTGTCATTCCTGGTACCTCATTAAAATCTTCCGAGTGTTTGATTTTGTCTAGAAACGGTCAGAGGCTTTCATGATACGCGAAAAGGCTCTCGTGGCGACGCCCTTTGAAGCTTCTAAAGAAAACAGACAAGCTAAATAAATGACATGCAAGTTTAAAATACCATAACACAAATTCGGTGCGTCAGAAATTATAGCTGGTATCAATCGCACATCGATGTTAAATATAACCAATAGAATAATAATATAATTTTATAAGTATGTAAATCTTACAGGTATAATGACTCTAGCAGTGGCACTGAATCGCTTGCTAATAACAAAGATGCTTACTCCTCTAACAAAGTTTCCCTCACTACAAGTAGTGACAACGTTTCTAACGCTCGTAGTTCAGTAAATTCTTTGAACACTCCGCAATTACCACCATCAAGAAAAACAAGCACCGAGTCTCAACGGTCTAATAAATCAAATGTGTCCTATAAATCAAATGTTTCCTATAAATCAAGGGGGCGTTTGGGTGATAGTTCTTTTAATTTTTTACACTCTGGGTCATATGTACAATTGGATCCGATAAAATCTGATCCCCAACTAACAGGAAAATTTGTAAACAAGACAGAGGTTTTCAATAAAGAAGATTTTCCGGTGAGACATGACTCTACAATTGCCTCATCGTCTAACCCTAATTTAAGGATGAGCTCTTCTACAGACTTATACGAAAACGTTCAATTTGATAAAGCTCATGAAAAATCGAACGTACGACAAAATAGACAAATTAATAATTATTCTCAAGTCGTAGCCGATTTGCAAACGATATTGAAAAAGAGACTTCCGAAACCGCCACCTAAACCTAAAGAGATTTGGAAAAAACACTCGGACGTTTTCAGTGTGTCTAGAAAAAAATCAGCTGTTGAACCCGATGCAGATATTACAGACGGTATGCGCAAGACTGAAATTTGTTCCACATACCAAAAACTTAACGATAGTCCTGATTCGGACTACATGCAAATGTACGTACGTAAACGTCAAAGTAGTTTTACATCAAATACTAATGAAAATCGTGACTCCGATATTTATAGTCGCAACAGTAAAATTAGCGACATTAATGAGAATCATGATGAAAAATATGATGTGTCTGAAGTATACGAAAACATAAAATATAATCAAACTAACGTACCTGATGATGTCAAGGTCAAAATATTTGATACTCGTGGCTTGGGGCCTGATTTGGTAATGGATTCTATAAAAACTAACCGTAGGAAATCTGCATCTGATGTACTAAATAATGAAAATAAGGTTAATACAAGTACTTACGCAACCATGCACTCTATTAAACGGATAGACCAATGGTCAAATAGGAAACTGTGTAACTATAAACCCAACACAGAAAGTTGTCATATCAAGGGTGACGAGGGTTGCATTTACGGCCGAATGGATCCCAAGTATATATACTCCATCAATCCCAATTGCGTGACTGGTAACGCTCCTCCATTCCTTAGAACTAAAGAAAAAACTGATCCATTACCATGTTTCTGTCCTAAAAATGCTTGGGGTACACAAAGAGTCACGGAAAAGGAAGTTTTCTTTAGCTGCGAAGACATATATGTTAATGTCTGTTCAATGCTTGAATGCACTGGTGGTACCAATAATACCACTGTTGATAATACTGACGACCCAATATTTAGAGATATTGTAGACTCTACGCCTGTAGACGATGACAGTGTAAGTTACGTTATTGAAAAATTTGGAAACGACGACAAGGACAGTGATACAGACAGCAGATCTAGTGATACTTTATTTAGAAAAAAATTGCAGCAGTTGAAAAGATTCTTAACTGATTGGACATAAATACTGTATGTATTTTTGATGGTGGTAATTTTTTATTGAATCACTAACACATAATTGTTTTGTTCTTTGATTATAGGTATTATTTTATGATTTATTATATTATATTTGTTTTCGCTTTATGTGTTTTACAGGAAAGCCCCAAAGACCCAGAAAAATACTAACACAAATAGCCCACTTTCCTCATCCCCATCTTCGTCATCAATAACAAAGAATCATCCTCAAAGTTTTGTTAAAAAGCTTGCTTCTAAATGCTTAGGCCTTAAAGCAAAGTTCAGTTCTGCTCCTAACATATCTAACACTACTGGGCTAGAGTCGATCGAAACCAAACCCAAAAGCCCAGACCATAAAAGTACAAATACTTTGCATATAGGTAACAGCAAGTTTTTCAAACTTCTGTCGAAAAAGGAGGAGTCTGGGGAAGTTGTATGCAATGATGAATTTGACACAATATCACTAGACCGCATAGAGACTCTAAACAGAGATTCAGTCGTTAATAGAAGCAATAGGAGTTGTCCAGGGTTTAAAACCTCATTGCCTAACATATCAGAAAATATAGAGCTTAGTGACTCTCACGCGTCTAGCGCAGAATCCGTTGTTATAACTGAGATAGATTCTGATAAAAATAGCCATAAGTCCTCAAAACTGAATCAAGCTGTAAATCTTTTTGCAAAAAATAATATTTTTGAGCCAAGAGTGAGAACGTCTGTAAATTCAAACATTTCAGCTGAGTCGACAACTTTAGTTAACGAATGTTATGAGGCTTATGAGTTCTCTTTAGATGATAAAGGTGATGTTGAGGTACAAGCACACAATAAATCTGTACTAGCTGTTCCGAAGCCTCCTCCAAGGTCTGCTGTTGTTACAAGTAATAACGATACTTCGATATATGAAAATGTAATAATACCCATACAAAATAGAACTTTAACACCAACCCCTGCGGCGAGAACGCATTTTTCTTCAAAAGTACTCATGGACGAGAACAAAACTATTGTCTACGAGAATGTTTCTTTACTAAACGAAAAGAAACCTAATTTACCGTTTGAACCAGTGGTACAGACGACGGATTTAGATGCAGACCCTTCACCCAGTGTTAGCAGAACTTCTTCTATATCTACTGATTCCATGTTAGATGAAACTAACTTGGAAGATATATTATTATCTGAAAAATCTAAGTCATTTAGACACAGCAAACAATATCCCTTGTATCCTAGCTTAGACATATCAGGAGTCCACAGGACGCATTCAGTTGCTTCCGATTTGTCTGAATTTACGCAAACGAGTGCGATAGAAAACGTGGATTGTATTGATGTTGATGAAAAATCTTTATACCTGTCAATGACAGGAACGTTGCCTAACAAAAAACCAGAACGTACTGTAAAGAAAAAAGTTCTTTTCAGACATAAAACTTTCACAAACATTGAAGTAGATCGAAATTCAACTAATGTTAAGGATATTCCTAAATGGAATAACGATTTTCTTATGGAAACATTAGCAAACTATCACATTCGAGGCACAGGGCACTGTGTGTATAAAGCACCTACTGTTGAAGAATTTATTTACATTTTCAATAGAGACACTCTATATAAGGATGTTGAGCCCTTTACTAAAGTGCCTAATGATAAAAGAGATAGTTATTACGAAACAGCGATATGCTTTTGCAGGCCTAGACCCTCCAAACATCACAAAAGTGCTGAGGATTTATTACAACTGGCGTCTCATGAAAGTGAAGAAAAAGTCGTTATAGATTATGACGCTTTAAAAGATAACCAAGAATTAACAACGACTACGTTTAGATGTTTTTGTGCGTCCGAAGATTGTAAATTGCATAATAAGCGACGGGAATCTTCCAATAATGTTACCGTAAAATTTTCTGTGATTAAGAGGAGTATTTCTACTCCTGATATTACTCTCGATTCTTCTCCTATTCCGACAGTTCGTAAACATTTACCGAAAACTCAATCCGTTGAATCTATTGAACAAGCCTATGCCGTTATTAATATAGAAGATATAATTGCAAGAAATAAGTTAACCTCTAAAAAAAATATCGATGATGATCCAAGCCGTGAAGTTTACATTAACATGTCACCACATTCTACAATGTCGTCTACAGCTCGACCTTATTCAATAAAGGATATTTCAGATGTTATTTCATTAAATAGTACCAATACTTTGACCGACACTAGCCTTACTTGTGCTTCTGGTTTGTCGCTTAGAAAATCGAACTCGGAACACTCAGGACATTGGTCGTTACAGTCTTGTAATTCTAATGTAACCATCCAATCTGATGCTTCGTACAAGACGTGTTATGAAGATTCTGACGAAGAATCAGATGGGACTTTGCACTCAGAAGGAGATATCTCCGACGCGGATACTGTTAAATCGAACGTTAGTACTGGTAAACGGCCGTGGGTTCACAGTGACTCTTTCAGATTTGGAACTAAGGATTCTAAGTTTGAAATGAGTGCAATAGCTGAAGAGCATTGCAAAGAATCCGAGTCGAAGTTTGAGAGTGGTATAAGCGTTGAAGGTTCGGAGAGTAGTTCATCTGAGTGTGACGATGATAGCGGTGTTCCGAGGGTCAATGATGTGTCGCTTGGAGCTGCTTCGCTTGAGCGGGGTTCTCGGGTGGACGGGGATGTTCGCAGCGGGTCGGGGCGGCGGCGGTGGGACGAAGCTGAAGGCACCAGCGAGGGCGATGCACTGAGTGTGTCCAGTGCGGCATCAAGTTGCGCGCCCCTCCATTTGGCGCATCATCATGACTACAGCAAAGTCTCGGTAAGTGCCTCTTTAAAAGTCCAAACTCAGGAATTTTATTTAGTATTACTGTGTAAGTTTCCCTATTGAGAAAACTAAAATTTAACCACACAAAGTTATTTCATTAAATAAAACACGGTGTAACATGTAATCGGCTTATGAATAGCTGTATCGTGCTATGAACCACGGGTTTCAATTGTCCGTGGGAATGGAGACACAGTTAACATCAATTACGCACTCTGTAGATTAGCATTTCATTGCGACACCATGAGAAGTATTTGTGTTCTTTTGATACCGTGATGGATTTGGTAAGTTATTATTCTACACACATCAAAAGTATACAGGTATCACGCACATTTTTTCCAATTATACTGAAAATCAGGTTGTTTTTAATTAATTTAAATATTTAACACATGGTTTTAAGTCAATTTTATAACCGGGATTTGAAAATGAAATTGACCAAAAAAACCCCATTGGGGTTAAAAATATTCATTAATAAAAAAACCGGATTTTCAATAATTAGCTAAAACGTGCTTGATCCCTAGACACTTTTGGCACGATTGAGATTTTGGCACGATTAAAAACTAACTTCGTAGAGCGTAGCGATCTTCGTTTTTCTTTGACAAGAATGGCTAACATGGCTAAAAATTACATTAACAAGGACGCGTCAACAATGAGTACTTTAAATTCCGGAGCTAATGGTGTGTCTATAAATAGGTCCTATGGAATCTCCAAAAGCGGATTATCTTGCTATAAAACTTTTTTAATATAGAGATGAATAACTAAATGACTTTCACAAAGCAAACTCTAAAGTTAATTTAATATAATCCAATTCACACCCCATGACCTGTTGCCCCACGCTGCTGCTATGTTCATGTTACGCATCAGAATATAAAATGACTCCTAATTACCTTTTGCCACGTTATGTGGCCAACAGGCGACACATAATCTATGGGGAACATGGGTAAATGAGTTAATAAAGTGTTGACACGCAGGTGCTTTTAACGTTTTCGTCATGGTTAGGTCTTTTTAGATATTTTGGAGGTACATTTATGTTTCAAAACGAATTTCTGACACGGTTGATTTTTACTTTGTCGAAATTTAAGTAGAGTTTTGCTTTTGATCCCTTCATTCTATGATTCAACCCAATCAATTAAGTGTGTAGTCGTATTGTCGATTCCTGTGTATTCTTATCCTTGCTGATATTATTTAGAACTTAGGCCAATAGTTAGATTACTTGTTTGTACTATATCCTAATTTTGAATCTATATAGAGAAATTAAAAAATCTATGTATTTACATTATTTCTTAATTTTTTAAATTAATCTATGTATTATATTATTTCTAAACTAAATAAGCGTTGTTGCTGGTTAATGATGTCAAAATTAAAAAGCTCGTGGGAAAAGAAATATGCATCATTGTTATAATATCTCAACACTTGGCATCTGTTATAGGACTTGTCGTTTGGAATTGAGACTTCTTTCTTTGAAAATACGACATACAATGTTGCTATTGGCAGGCTAGAGCGCTTGTTAATCGTATGTCTGGTATATTTTCAATAAATAGGCATATGTGCCGTTATCAAGTTTGGGATGTCTAAATGACAGTCACATAATATTGGATAGTTTCGTTATTGCTGTATCGAACTTCAAGCCTTAAAATTCTTTTAGTGAGGTATTGATGGTTCTTTTCTGTCGTTTAGCGTCTTCAAATTAATATTAATTTCCTTCATTTCAACGAAAGTCACTATTTGTAATGCACTAACGCTAGTCGCACTTTGAACAAGAACAGCAATAATTAATTAAAAACTAAGCCTTTTTTATGCTTGATTTCTTAGTCGTGTGTCGCGTAATTTCTTGATAATATGTATAACAGTTACGTTTTGTACTTAAATCCACCACTAAGCGTCCGATGATTCTCAAATCCTTAATAACAAGTAGTTAGTAATAATTTTTATAAGATCCCACATGGTCCGCTATCTACCAACTTTGCTTCCCACTTGTAACAACGCATTATGAACTCAATTGTTTTCAACTGAACAGTCGTACAGTTAGAAATCATGAAGCAATATATGTTTGTAGAGTCGCGTGAAGGAATTTTGTCGGTCAGTCGCTCCCGCGCGTAGATCGACGCAAGTTCGTTCGATTGTGTTTTCGGTTGTAATTCCGTACCTCGATAGTGTTCAATTAAAATTATAGTGATAGAGTGTGTGTTTGTGTACATGTTGTGATTGTGTGTGTCAATGGACTGTAGATCTTGTGAAGTTTACGTAAGTTGAATGTTTTAAATTATTTTGTTTGAAACTTTGAAGTCCTTTGAGACGAAAAATTTGTACTCGACCTTATTTCCTTTTTTATATTGTATGAAGTTTCTTTTGAAGAGATCCGTGCCCAGCACTGGGACGTATAACGCGTTAATGATGGTGATATTGACACAGGTTTCTTAAAATAACTCCAATAAGCAATGATTTCGGTTGTTAATAATATTTTATATAACAACTGCGTCTAATGCTTTAAATGCTTTGTCTTGCTCAATTGTAGGCCCTATAAGCATATTAAGATAAACTAATGATTATATGCATTTTACTATTTTTTTCGAAAGGCTGCTTGTTTTAGAATTAGGTATCCTTACCTCAAAATTATCGTATTCATACAGATAATATTTGACAATTTTATATGAAAATATTGTTTGCAAATGTGGCTATCATCTAACGTTTTCTTGCAATACACGTAACCTCTAAATATATTAGGATGTTTCAATCTCAAACATCGTCATCTCCAAAATTAGCATTCTTTATATTCCACATAAAGCTCATAAATTTTACAAAAAAGTGTTAGTGTGTTATCTGAAACGTTAGAAAATCCCATGTCAAGGGCCCAATAACCCAATTTCAGAGTTTCGTAACGTCATTCCATGTGGCTAACATTAATCGGCACAGTCCATGGAACTATACAAAATTACATTATGACTATCTTAACGTGACTTCAAGTTACAGATTTGTTTGTAAATGATTGCATCGGTTGTCATCGTGTATGTGTCATTTATTATATACATGTATTTACAATTTTAGTTCCCCACTTTTAGTATCAAAAACGGTGTCTTTTCTATCTTTTTGTTTTCTATTTCTTTTTAATTTATTTTAGCAAATGCCAATAAGTTAAGCAGGAACGATTGACTTGTTCTGTTTTTAGAGATCGAAATCTCTAAAAACAGAACAAGCTGAGTTTTATTATACTTCTCTTTACAAATTGGGGCTCACGCTGTTGTGTACAGCTCTGGCAGCAAACCTCAAGCCTTTCCAAAGCACTAATATTCACATTGGAATTCTCTAAAATAATACGTTATTTAAACAAGAACAATCTTTAGATTGTTGATCGAATTTTGAGTGAAAACGGCAACTTTTGCGAGTTTCTTCATAGTTAGTTGCCAATACTTCCATTTTTTTTAACGGTACCGATTGACGAGACGAACAAGTCTTGCGTCTGGCGTTAAGGGCGCGTTCAAATTAGCCGCTGTTAGCCGCGCTGCAGCCTATCGCGTTGCAGCCACGCTCGGTTGCATCACGGTTAGTGAGGTGTACATGTTAATTTTTCAAATTAACTACGATGGACGAAAATCGAGTTGAAGAATTTATAGATAATGCATAAGAACACCTTGCAATATGGGATATCAGTTCCGCCAGTTATTCTAATCGACTGGACAAAAAGGCATGGGAAAATTTATGTCTAAAATTTATTGATAATTTTAAGACTAAAACCACATTGTGAGTAATTTTTAATATCTATACGTGAAGTGTGTGCCCCAAGAACTCTGACCAAACGGTATATAGTTAGGGATAACTATATACCTTTTGGTTCTGAATACAAGTGTGAAGAATAGTGTATTAGTATTTGTAAATCCAAGATGGCGGACACGATATTTCAAAAAAATGCAATATGGATAATATACTCAAATACCTCGAAAAGTATATCCAACTTGCTATTATTCGAAAAATTGTGCCCACTCTCTGGGATTAAGAAATGAGTGCGATATTCGTAATGAGCATCCTCAAATACCTCGAAAACTATACCCTACTTGCCATTATTCGAAAAATCGTGCCCGCCTTCTTGGATTTGGAAATGAATGCCATATTCGTAAAGAGCATCCCCAAGTATCTCGAAAAGGATACCCATATTGCATTTTTTTGAAAAATCGTGTCCTCCATCTTGGATTTACAAATAAGTGCTACATTCGTAATGAGCACCCCCAAATACCTCGAAAACGATACCCAACTTGCCATTATTCGAAAAATCGTGCCCGCCATCTTGGATTTAGAAATGAGTGCCATATTCGTATTGAGCATCCCCAAATACGGCAAAAAGATACCCGTATTGCATTTTTTGAAAAATTGTGTCCGCCATCTTGGATTTCGAAATAAGTGCTATATTCGTAATGAGCACCCCCAAATACTTCGAAAACGATACCCAACTTGCCATTAATCGAAAAATCGTGCCCGCCATTCTGGATTTAGAAATGAGTGCCATATTCGTAATGAGCATCCCCAAATACCTCGAAAAGGATACCCATATTGCATTTTTTTGAAAAATCGTGTCCGCTATCTTGGATTTACAAATAAGTGCTATATTCGTAATGAGCACCCCTAAATATCTCGAAAACGGTACCCATCTTGCCATTATTTGAGAAATCGTGCCCGCCATCTTGCATTTAAAAAAGTCGTGTTAGCCATCATGTATTCAGATAGAAATGCCATTCCCATAAGGATTACCAAAAATAAATTTTTGAAAATTAATGTCACATTCTCAATAAGCACTCCCAAACAACTCGAAAACGTCTATAATTCTCGTTGTCGATCGACAATGTCGATTATACGCATTGACTTACAATTATATGGATGTCGGGTCCGCGCTAAAAAGTGTCCGAACTTATAGGGCGTTAAAATCGTATACAGAGCGTCATTCACGCTTTAGTCTTCGTTTGTTCGACTGACAGGGAAGCAAGCAAAATTAGACAGTACTGCGATGA